GCTGGCAGCACTATTGAGCGTAGACGGGACCCCGACTTCTTCCCGATATGAGATGAAATCTACCGCGAAGATCGCGAAGAAGTTCTGCACCAACCTCTTCTGCTTATCATCACCCACGCCGGTGCCCGTCGCTCCCACTGGAGAAGTACCACCACGAACTCTATCTGCTGGAAGCGCACGCCATTCGGACCATGAAGGCGTCCACGGCTTCGGGACCAGAACCAGTTTCCACCGAATTTCTGCGAGTTGGAGGATAACGTCTGCATGAGATTCTCGCGTCACATCCGGCACTTACCTTTAGAAGAAAGGGATTCTCGACCAGTGAAAAACATCAAAAACCGTCCTTCTTTTCAAGAAGAGTGAACAAGAGGATCTTCGAAACTACCGTTCAATATGCCAAGTCGACCAAGGAAAAAGCTTAGCTTATTTGAAGACGTTAGCCGACTGCTACAAGGAGTGTACAATGACGATGCAGCTATTCCATCGCCCCTTAACCATCTTAGTTGGGAAGGGTTCTGACAAGCTGATACAATCTCGCCGAAGCTGTTCAGTGGATATGAAGTACCGGACTGGGACGAAAAAGGCATACGAGTTAATGAGAGATTCCTGTCAAACCTTCATTTTGCGGACGACATCGTCCTCTTTTCGAGCAGTATCACTGAAACAGAGACATCCAGAAGGAACTAAACAAAGTAATAAAGAAGATCGGATTCCGAATAAATTGGAAGAGAACTCAGTTCATGAAGAATGCCCTTTGCAGAGATGCAGAAATTGAATTGGAAGGCACCGCTATCATAGAGACGTCTTCTTATGGTATCTCGGACGTTCAATGAACATGGAGAACGACTTGAGAGAAGAACTTGACAGGAAAAGAAAAACAGCTTAGGGCCTCCGGGCCTCTGAAGGAAGCCACCGACAAATTGACGGGGTTGAAGCTTCGAGCCCACCTTTTCGACTCAACCTTTCTCCCGGCGCCCTGTTACGAAAACGCAGTTTTCGGAAGATGACCCGACACAAGCAGCATCGCGTCGGATTTCGTAGTACAAATACGAGAAGAATGTCCCGTCTTCGTGACCCGCCGGAATACGTTGCGAAAGCGAAGCATTCTTAGGCCCCTCACATCATGGGTATAAAGACAACAGATGGACACTAAAAACATCAGCGTGAATTCCTCGCGAAGCAAAACATCCCCAGAGAAACACCAACGACGGGCAGACGTGTTCGTGGAACGGATGGACCAGCTGAGAAATCAGTTGGATACGATTTTCGCACAGGCGACTTGTGGAAGCAGTTATCGATGTCAACCGGGGAAGATCGTGGATGCCTGAAGCGAGGGATAGGGAAAAATGGGAACTTCTGTGCTGGGCTTTCATGTTACATGAAGCCAGGCCATCCAAGTTAGTAAGTTCAAAAACGCAAACTTGATTTTTGGCATCCTTCTCGAAAATCAATACTTTTTTGAAGGATATAAGCAGCACAGTTTTGCTCGGTTGGAAGAAGGTCAAGGAACCTATGATACAGTTCTCTATTTTTCATTGCAGTTTTATGTCCAACTAGCTGACGTCCCCGGTCCAGCCCGGACGGGCTTAAACTAGTTCAGCAAAGCACAAAAGTTTGTTCCCGCTTGTTAATAACCTAAACTCTCTCCTTAGTTGTTACTTCATCTTCATTGCGCCTTCCTTTTCTATGTTCTTTCTCCGAATCGTGCAGCCGCTTCCGAAAACACACACACATTACGTAGATAGAAGCGGGAGTAGAAAAAACGCTCAGATGATTTTTCTGTGATCTATATATAAATAAAACTCAATCTTGTAAATTTGTTCGTTTGTAAGTATGTGGGTATAGATTTTGTGAACCGATGAGGCTGAAATTCGCTCTCTTACAAATGAGGCACGGCGCAGAAGATAGGCTAATATTAGCCTATCTTCTGCGCCGTGCCTCATTTGTAAGAGAGCGAATTTCAGCCTCATCGGTTCACAAAATCTATACCCACATACTTACAAACGAACAAATTTACAAAGATTGAGTTTTATTTATATATAGATCACAGAAAAATCATCTGAGCGTTTTTCTACTCCCGCTTCTATCTACGTAATGTGTGTGTGTTTTCGGAAGCGGGATACATGCAGTTAGAAGCGCGTAATTTCTTCTTCCAACAAAATTCAATATGTATAATCCCTTAGAAATCAAGAAGGATTTGTTTGAAAATGTTGCGACAAAACATTAGGTACTTTTAGGAGATGGTAACATTCAACGACAAATCAGCTCGTTTCTGAAGATTTCATGATTGGTGATTCGTCAATAAGTTTCGTGGATAGTTGTATACAGACGGGGCGATAAAGGCAAAAATGGGCTATTGTGACCTACGGAAGAAAGAAACAAGACAAAAAACAGACTTTTCGCGCTCACACCTTGCTCCTACTGATGATAATATCTACTTGTCTAGTACAAGCAGCCGCTCTCAGATGTGGAGGAGATGGCGTTACCAGCATTATTTGCGCCATTAGCGGACAGCGGGGTGGGTGGGGAGAGGAGGGGGAGGGGGAGGAAGCGCTCCTGAGGATGGGTTGCTAGATTTTTTAAGAAAGCCTACATGAACTATAAAATAATATTAGGTTGGCATATAAGTAATGCAATTTTTTATACAGCTTTTGTCTTTTTGAACGTAGCATTTTTTTTTTGGCAATATAAGGATTATGGAGTAAACCTCAGATTTAGCTGAAACTTGGCTTATGGGGGGTTATTCGACATGCTGATCACAAAAATGAGGCCCGCTTCGCATGAAAAGGTCTCTTTCGTAAGGTCAAGGAGTAAAATTTAATCTTCGCGACAAATGAATGATACTCTTGTTCATCATATAAGATTACTCTACTGCGCAAACTTAGCGAATTCTGACTTTTAGCAGCTTGGATTCACATGGCCCTCTAAACTTGACGCAAATGAGTTGTCCAACTTCTCAAAGGCGCCCTATCTTAACACTAATTCTAATGTGTTAGGTTCCTACATGTTGTTACAATTGCTTTTTGATATGTTCGCTTCAGGTTGTGTACGACTTCATGCTCGCCAAAAAACTATACAACCTTGATTTTCAGCAGTTTTTGAAAAGTGCTTAAATTTTTCCTGCTACGTTTTAAAACTTCAAATGGTTTGCGCAAACTTGCAGCTGCATCAAAGTCTACGTGATGCCAGAGAATACGATTGCTATAAAAGATAAAAAAGAAGTTATGGCAAAAGTTGCAAAACTCATGTGCCAACCTAATACAAGTGAACTGTTTTCATTCGTAGATAGCTTGAATTTTTTTGAAAAATTTCTCAAAAAACAAGCTAGCTTTCTTGAAAATTCATGCCACGCCTCCCCCGCCCCCTGGAAGAAAATTTTCCTAACGGTCCGCCACAGATTTGCGTAAGGCAATGGGCATAGTAATCGCGATTTCGTCGTCGCGATTTCAACGCCGGGGAAATCGGTGGTTTGAGCGACGAAATCGCGACAACGAAGTCGCTCATCGCACAAACGTGAACATAGTACATACGCGATCCCAGGTCTTTGCAAACTATGCAACTAGATGCATGTGCAATGTATACATTTTGTTTCCTTGGGATACTACTTCTTCATCCTCAGCGTATAGGCTTGTTCATGCCAGTGATGAAACATAATTGCAAGAAATTCTCACAATTTGCCCATCTTTCAGTTCCTTAAAAGCTTTTTAGTTTTTTAGGGATTTCTCATCTACGAATGTTTTTGAAAGCTAACAGCTACAATAAGGACGTTCTTTACAGTTTGTGACGAAACAAGATATTACAAAGGACTAAAAGTAAGGATAATAATGTGGGGTTCTACAGTGCTTTGACAAGAATTTCTAAATGTCTAAATGATATTAAAAAATAAAGCACAGCAGTGGTGAAACAGTCAAAATCACCAATAGAACCAAATGAAACGTTCTGTGCAATGCACTAATATCGAAAAAAAATTTTTGCATCTATGCGGGTAGCGAAACTTTAAAATACATCTGAAGAACCAATTAGATTACTAAAGAAAACAAAGAAAACAGGAAACGTGTCACACGACAGTTCATAATTATTAAAAAAGGCGTTAAAGTGCGAAGTTTCTCTAATCTATTTCAGATAAGATTTAGTTCTCCCCCAAGCGTAAACAAGCTAAAACATCAATGCATATTTATTAAAGACTCTCAAGATCTCCTCCGCACCTCAGCGATATCGCCCTGTCGCCTGCGCAACGACGCGACGCGACATCACTGAGTTTTGCTGAAATCGCGGCGATTATCGCTGAAGAACTATGCCCTAGTCAACAAGCGTCTGCGATTCGTCGCGCAGGACGACTACCACAACCGCCGTGGCAAACACGTGGGCATGCAACGAGCGCGTTACAAATGTCGTTTCACAAAAATCGCAGAGCGACGGAATCGTGACCACTATGCCCTAAGCCTAAAGTACCGAGAAGTGACATCCAGCTGGAGATATGCGCTAAAGCATATTATAGCGAAACCCACACACTATGCAGATTTTTGGATGCACATGCGCATAAATTCGCATAGCTATCAAAACACAAATTTGTGCGCCTACTAATGTTTTCAAAACAGAGTCAAATCAAAAGTTGTTTGACCCGAAGGGACTACCAACCTTTCATCGTTTCTACACATTACAGTAAGCATTGTTTTATCTTCGGATGAGCTTCTAACAATGTGCACATGAAACCCTTAGTCTGCAGATGTGGTTGATAGTAAGCGTTCTACAATCCCGCTACTGAGCCTCTAGAAACTTGACTTGGGGAACACGCGGAAGGCGACAAATGCCCTGGAACAGGCACGACTAGTGGCCACGCCCTGTCCGAGTTCTCGTCAACACTCGTCCTTCCAATCTTTGTACTGGAGCGCGTCTGCACGCTTTCTACATGTTTGGGTTCTTGTGTGATACATTTTTGTCTCTGTTCTTGTCTATCCTTTACGGTTCTATATTTTTCACCTTTTGTGTGAACATATCTGCTTATAGGGGTATGAGATATATCATTGATGCGGGAGTTCCTTCATGTAGTTGCACATATAAGCGAGCAAGAGGAGTCGTCACCTGACTCATCAGAGGTATGACCTTTCTTGTGTTCTGTGCTCTACTTTTCCATTTCGTCATTTTCTTACTTAGATATCACCTTATGAATGTCCTCCCCCTATTAGCTAGCCTTTTCGTTATCATCAAAATGTTTGCGCGACTTAATCATTCCATTTTAGTTGAGATATTCGAGGAAGATCGCTTTCAACTTCGTGCGCCATTGCTATGGACTTATGAGGTAAGAGCTCTCACTCATTCGTTCTGCTTGAACTTCGCCGATCGTTTTTTTTTTGAAGGATGGATCTCACGCCTAAGTGCAATCGAACAGAGGAGAGCTCAAGGGCCATTGACGTGAGCATTGTGTAAACTCTGCTACTTACACTCGAGTTATCAAAACCAAATTCTACTTAAGTTTAACTTTTGTGTATTCATATGTTTTTTTATTTTAGCTATCCTAACGGTCCTAGGTTCTTGCCTTTTCTTGAAGAAATGGTTAGACTTAACATGACTTCATTGACTTGTAAGCAGTATTTCTGTATACATAATGGTCCCTGATACCGTTGTCGATAATAACTATGTGGAACAAATAGACTTACAAAAGTACTTTGGAAACTTTGTACAGAGATTTCTTGCTTTTGAGGTGAAGTTGTACTCTACATTGCTGAGTGATATTATCATTTTCTCTTTTTGTCCTATATCTGGTGCGATTTTGTTGCGAATAAAGTTGTTTTTCTTTCTGCCCTGTCAAACGAAGAATAGTGAGCAGAAAAAATAAGATGAACTTAAGTATTGACAAAGGCTAAATTCTGAAAGATATCGCGGCTATATTGAGTTCGAGGTCCGGCTGGATACAAATTGAATTTGACATTTTGCCTGAAAATGAGGATTCTTCTTACTTTGAGACTCGAAAGAAAACTGCTTTGCAGCATTTATTGTGTTTGATTCATCTCTATCCGAATGATAGCTACATAACTGCATAGAACTGATGCAATTCCGTTATTCTTATTCAATGCAGAAGCTAATCGAAATGTCATCGGCTTCCAGATTCGTAGAGGTGTGGAGGCGGAGTCTTGCCATCTCACAGCGGGGCGGTTTTTGCTAGCGAGAGAGTACGAAAAGCAATGCTATAACATGGAGGTTCAACAAGTTTATCCTTGTTACCAAACAAAGTCTGCAACACACCTCCACACGAACCTGGCAACTGATCATATGCGTGAGTTAGATGATGACCGAAATCGAATTTCGCTGCCAAATCTCACACTCAATCAGTTAGCTATCAGCAAACAATCTACGAGTCTACAACTTGCGTTACGTAACTTTCCTTATACACTGAGTGATCACATCTACCAATTTTACACAACGAACTCTTATGGACAAAACAGAGTAGTCGAAGAGGGCACCGCCACCATTTAGATGCCAGCCTATGCGCCACAAGAGCGTCAATCTGACTAATTGACTCGAGGCCAGCACTAAACAGCAGGCAAATGGGAGGCGTGGCCATCGTTCCCTCGCCTCCGCTGGGTTTTGTCGCCTTCCGCACCACACCCACTTGACTTATGTGACGTCAATTAAAAATGATTTGATATACACGATGATAGATGTGATGTAAATCATTTCACAAGAAAAAACCAAAGTTCTTCACCTAGGACCTCCGGTTATTGATTACAGTTGCCACATAAAGGGTGAAGCTATTGATTATGTTGATGAGATAAGAGATCTAGGGTTTGTAGTGAATAGTCGGCTGGATTTCGATAAACATTGCGAAACTCTTGCAGCTAAAGGAATTTCGGCAGTATATAATTTGTTTAGAGCCCTTTCCACAACTAATGTTGACATTCTCATGAGGGCATATAAGGTTTATATAAGACCTCTATTGGAGTATGGAACGGTAATCTTCAATCCAACGAAGCAGAGAACTGTACAAGCATTAGAAAGAGTGCAAAACTGCTTTACAAGGAAATTATTGATTAGAACCAAAGGCCTCAAATACGAACTTTTACCCAACGGAAAGGATCGAAATAAAATCTTGGGGTTGGTCAGCCTGTGCAATAGAAGAAGAAAGCTTGATCTTATTATGGCTCACAAAATAGTATTCGGAGATTGCCAACTTAATCCCGCCAACTTCTTTGAGACTAGAAGTTCTATTACTAGAGGGGAACCTCAAAAAATGGTAATACCAAGAGCAGGGAGGAATGTGAGAAGAAGATTCTCTAGATAAAATGATGAGAAAGGGTATGCTTCCCCTAAAATTGTCTCAGTTCAAAGTGATTCTTGAGAGCTATCTTCTTTCGCCATAGCTCCTTATGTGATTGTTAGGCCTTTCTAGTTTGTTGTGTTGATTTGTGTTGTTAACTAGACTTGGTGTTCTGTTGAATGTAATATGCATAGGAATTTCCTACGCAACAAATAATAATAATAATTGAAAAGTTGTTTGACCCGTAGGGACTACCAACCTTTCATCGTTTCTACACAATACAGTAAGCATTGTTTTTATCTTCGGATAAGCTTCTAATAATGTGCACATGAAACCCTTAGTCTGCAGATGTGGTTGATAGTAAGCGTTCTACAATCCCGCTACTGAGCCTCTAGAAACTTGACTTATGTGACGTCAATCAAAAATGATTTGATATATACGATGATAGATGTGATGTAAATCAAAACACATGTGTTCATGAGTGTCCAATCTTTTTGCACAAGCATCCAGCACAAAGTCATCCCCTCAGTTTTAAAACCAGAATCCAAATTTTTTATCTGCAAAAATAGTGAATATCTCCAACAACTTTACTCAAAAATTCACATCTCACTAGCTGAATCAAAAAGTCCTAAAAGTTTCCAAAATTCAGTAACTTTGGCTAGACATAACAAATCCAAAGCGTTTTGACCTACAGTCTCAGACCGCACTTTGTTGATAGATTTAGTAATGCTTGACTACATGGCATTGAATGCGAGGTTAAAACAATTACTTCTGTTCGTTTCGCAAGAACGTAAAAAAAATCAGATACGTACATGAATGTAGAACCATCTCAATACAGAGCTATCAGAGGAACAGTCGAACAGACGCGCGACTTACTGGAAACTTAGCTAGAATTGCAGGGCAATTAAACCCAGTTTACGGTAAGTCTCTCCTAAAGTGCTGTATCGACGCGAAAAACCCAGACTTAGTTATTGCACTCAATTACTGTTATAAATCACTAGCATAAAAGAACTTTGGATTGCTTGCTAGCTGAGTACTACGGCAGTATGCGATCATAAAAGAACAAAAGCAAAGACTGGGCCTGCTTTCAATCCCTCCGCGCATAGCATAAAGGATAAGACGCGCAAACAAAGACAAGCACTAATCGTTTATAATCAAAAACAAGAAATACATTCATTCGATTCTGGAAGATTGCATCGTATCACATTAGGAGACGTTTAAAAATATAAACTTCTTTATCCGTATACGGTCAAAGAATAACAACAAACAAGTTAGTCGAATAGACCAAATCCCATATCTTCATCGGACTCCTCTTTCGGCTCTTCCTTCTTCTTCTCCTCGGCTGTAACGATGATATGTTTGAAAAACGTTTGCAACTTACAGGTCTGAGTATATTCACCACAAGGCTGTTTACTATAATTAGACGGTCTCAACAAAGAGAGCAAGAAACGAAGGTAAGTGATTCTCAACCGATATAAACGCGTAAAATTTATCCTCCCAAAGACCATCCTCAATCAATGTGCCGCGAAATAAACAGTTGTCATGAACTCCAACAAAAAGAAAACCCTCTCAGAAACAAAAAAGATCAAATCACCTTTGGGAGCAGCTCCTCCGGCAGCGGCAGCGGGAGCAGCGGCTGGTGCAGCTGAGCCTCCGGATGGTACTGAAGACAGCTTTTTCTTTCCCTCCTCCATGACCTCTGCGATGTTTTTTCCTGACAATGCGTCTACAACTTTGTTGGCATCCTCCATATCACAATCGAGTCCTCCAGATTCTGGAAAATTTCATAAAAATTGAAGGAAAAATCGCTGAACTGAGAACTCCCATTGCTGCCACATGCCAACTGCCACATGCCAACTTATACTGCTTGGCAAAAGCAGTTTTAAATCCATGTTACATCAATTTTGGTACTTCACTATAGTTAGTATGATCCGCATTTATATGTTTTGCTGAGAATAATCAAAGATATTGCACAGGCAAAGTGTGGGTGTGGGCAACGATAGGTAACGAGCTCAGATGAACTTGAAAAAAGCAGAGACCAAATTTACGGTTGACGTTTCTATTACGAACCACTGGCAGACTTGCGTAATCCCATCTTAAATGTGGCTCTATATTCAAAATTTTCGCACAAGGCTATTTTGGAATTAGAAAAAAAAAAGCAGCGCTTCAAACATTTTGAGCGCTAAAGGCAAAAGTACATGGGAACGGTGTCCTTACCTAGTGTTATTTTTACTGAGCAACCTAGTGTCTCACTGTAGATTTGCAAAAGAGAAAACACCGAACATTTACCATCTAAATATTGGCTTTATGCAGGAATATGGACTCACCAAGGATCGCTAAGATATCCTTAGCAGTGGGTGAATTGTTCCCTCCTAATGTGGCGAGGAGATACGCTCCCAAGTACTTCATGGCTGGAAAGAACTTTCATTAAGACAATCAAGTTGATATAACAATCACCAGCTTATAAGGATGGCGGATGAGCAAGCAATCAAAAGAATGCAAGATATAGAATCAACAGGTACTTGGACAGAATAACACTCGCTCATTTCAATGAGCAAATCATTCACAAGAACTCCGATTCAGAAAAAATTAGAAGCTAGATTTGGGCCTCACGGCATTCCGCGCTCGGTAGCGAATTATAGGTACCAAAACTTCTAGGACCCATTGCTCTCAATGCCCTGCAGTCCTTTAGACCGCATTCTTTTGGCGAAAAAAATCGTAGGCCTACTTCCCTAAGCTTTGAAGTCACATCGTACTGGTAGCTCTCATAAGTTCTGCAGGAATTATAAGTACTGTAAACCGATGAAAGCAAAAACTCCCTCTGCAAATGCCCTGTTAATACATGATCTGCAGGTAATCAGTTGGCACCCAGCCAAACCCTTGTGAATCTCGATGTCGAAGTACGGGTTGTTTACACTACCGTCCCTATCAAGCTACCTCCCCAGTCGGGCTTCCCTTCAGACCTGGCTGTAGACGGCGACGGCGGTGAGCCCCGTCACGAGTTCAGGGATCAATTCGTTCGCGACGCGACCGCGCTGCGGCTGCGAGAGGCGCCGCGGCGCGAGCGACCCGTATATTCCCAGCGTTCATCGGCGTCTTCTTTGATTTCAGGTTCAGATTATCGGATTTCGGACTGCAACCTTCTGCTTCTGAAGTTTGAGCTCAGATCAGTCAATGTTCCTTCTAAGTACAAGAGCTTTGCTTCTTAGCGTCAAGTGTTGACAGGTGTTTAGGGGGATTTGTTTGTACACTTTCAAAAGAATTGCTAATGGCAGAGTTTGCTGTATCTGCATGTTCAGCGCCCAGAACGCAAAGTCTGGTACTTGTTTTCCTTGGACTGAACGGTTTTTGCATACAGATTTTCTTTGTTTATCATAGAGTTTCTTTCTCAAGTTCCATGCTCTTTCTTTTCGCATTTTTAGAGCTTTTTCATCTCGCTGATTTTTTTATCTGTTCAGTGAATACCAAGTTCTGGGTCTTGTTCTGTACTTGGTGGATTCTTTTTGGTTTCAAATTTACTTCCTTCTTTAGGCGTACCTAATCTTATACCTTTTCTATCGTCATAACCTCGAGCACCTGTCTCTTGAATTCGTTAACTCCCGGTTCCTCGTTTTTGCTTTCTTCTCCAAATCTTCATCGATCTTTTTAAGATATTCACTACATTGGTGTCTTTATTGAGAAGATCGTTTTAGTTCTGCAAATTATAAATACGAGTTGGGTTTTCTTTTTACTTGACTTTTTCAAAAAACAATAAAGCGTAACATTCCTGAATTTGGTGATATTACGCCGTATCTTGTTTCCCTGCATAATGAACAATGTTATCTTCGTATCAAAGAGGTTATTTTCTCTCATTATGAAGCTTGATATCACACCAATTCTCGTTCTTTTTTGAAGGGCTTTGCTTTGAACAGCTATAGCAAATACTTATTCCTTCTAAGTTTCCCATCGTTTTTGTTGCTTGACCGTTTTCTTGTAATCATGTAGTTTCGACTGTTCAATTTCCTCCTCATTGCGGCAGCGGCCGCTTCATCCACTTTTGTACTCACAGCTTTACGAGAATCACCTTAGATATCCGAGGGCGCTTGATGTGCGTTGATGCTGGGCGCGTCGTCTCTAGACCCGTCGTCGTCAACGTCTCCGTGGCATTCTGCACCTACTGCTGTCGGACATCCATCTTCTAGTTCACGACCATCCAAGTCGGTACCATCCCCTGCGAAGACGGAAACGGACACTGCTACTTCAACCTCGCATGACGTCAAAGAGGAATATTCTCGTGGGTTTCCCCTATTTTTCTTTGGTTGGCCTAAGTGAATTTTGAAGTGTATTGCTTGTAACACGTTATCCATTTTTTGGTAGCAAAAAAAAAGACTACCTCAGCTGTTTCTATCAATTCGGCATTTAGTTTTTTTCCTGTGACTGTATATCAAGTCGTTTCAAAAGTTCGATATTCGCGACTCTTTGCTTTGATGGCAAACAACAAAGTTGTTTCAACTTTTTTGGGAGCATGTTTTGAGATTGAGTTGGCAGATTTGCATTCAACAGCAACTTAAAGAAGCTGAAGGGAAGACCAATACTAGGAAAACACTGCAACAAAGAATCTAACAATGATAGGCTAGAAGTTTATTGTGGCCTTTTGTAAGTTGGTGAACGTAGCTGTTTTGTTTTGGGTTTATTTGGTGTGCAGCAAAAGGAAATTTTAGAGTATTCTTGAACAGCTTGAAGACCGTATCAAACCGTTGGTGTCTGTATTGTTTCCTCAGTGGGATTCTTAGACACGATGAGATTACTTTGTATCTCTCCTGTAAGTTACTAGCTGAGATGAAATTCTATCTTAGGTCTCAATTTGGCAGCACCCTGAATGCTAGAAATTTTTCTATATGGTAGTAACGATAATGCGATAATGTGAGTACGAAATTCGTGCTCTACCTTGATTTGCGAGCACACATCAAGTCAAAGTATAAAATTAAAGTAAAAGCTGTTATGTATTCTTATCATGAGATTAGCTGGCCAAAAGGTGCATACTCAGACTTTTCCACTTTCAGACATAGAACCAGTGGCGTCAACGAGTAGTGGCAAGAGTGGCTTTTCTGAAGAAGGAACATCTAGTGACGCAGATGCAAGCCGGCGGCAGGGCAGCATGACCTCTTCGTCAATACCGTCTGTCCACTGTCGTCGGCTTACTTTCCGTTTACCTCCGAAGTTCGCGCAGCGTTTGAAGCGCATCGCCAACAAGCAGCCGAGCACCCTGGGACGGTTGGGTTCGTGTTATTTCATTTTCACATCGTGTGAGGTGGACGAACGTAGTTAGAGTGCATTGCAGGCGTAGCAAAGGTCAAAGTTGGAGATGACGAGACGGTTTCCGTCAATGACGTACCGCCTGTGCAGCCTATGAAGTTGGAGGAGAGGCGGCCGGAGCAACTCATCGAACGAGTGTAAGTTATTTTGCTCGACTGAAGCTCTTACCTCTTTAATTATGTACAAACGATGCTCATTTTAGAGAATCTCGGCAATCTGTACCTCCTCCACCTCAACCACTCCATCCTCCACCAGGAAGTGCAGGTCCGGTGTGTCAGCCACCACCTGGATACCACGCCGTCACGCAGCATCAACAGGAAGTTGGCCCTTCTGTTGCTCCACACCCAATGCAGAGACCTGCTGCAATCAACAACAACAGTCCATTGCTGGTCAACTTGTTAAGGTGATCAAGATTTTGGAATTAAATAGTTTTCTTGCAATTTCTCTGTTTCTGAAGCATGTTTTGCAGTTCCCAGCAACCAGCGGGTATGGTCGGTGGCCCACCGCCCAGTGTCGCGCCTCATCATCAGGCTTACTCTCCAGCTGGGACATATATGTACCCTGGAGGAGCTCCACCCCATCAGCATCCTCATCCTTCCGCTGTTCCCGCGAACGCTGCTCCGCCCGTTATGGATCCGCAACAGCATTTGGCAATGCAGCAACAGGTCATTAGTCCATTTGGTTTTTGCTTGCGCTTTTCTGTTTCGGCGGCAGTTCCTCCTTTTTTTCTCTTTCTGAAAGATTGTTTTCAGCTGCAAATGGAGCAACGACAGAGAATGTTGATGCAGCAGCAGCAGGTCCATGCTGCTGCTGTCGCAGCTGCTCAGGCTCAACAACACCAAATGCCCGGTCAGCCTGCACAAGCTCCACTAACGCCGGGTGGATTTTACAGCCCCGCAACTCCTGTACAACAAGCGCAAGCGCAGCCGCGGCCTCCAATGGTGAGCCTATTCATTCACGCAGGCATTCTCGATCAATCCGCTTTTCATACGGATGCGCTTGCATTCAGGGTTACGCCCCTCCACCACAAAATCCACCCATGTTCGCTGCTCAACAGCAGCCGCAGCAGATACCTCCTGCCGTTCAACAACAGCGAATGCAGGCCTACCCTGCGCAAATGAAGCAAATGGGAATGGCTGCTGCTCCTCAAGTGAATCCCGGTCAATTCCGAGGGCCTCCCGTTGAAGTAAGTTTTGGAAGCCTTATTTCACAACAAAATATATTGAGTTCTTCATCTTGCGCATCTAAAAACAGTTACTCCGATTCTAACGCCGGAATACACCATGCCTAAAAATTGTTACGCAGTGCTCTAATTTGTAGTAATGTTTGACCTTTAGGAGGCTGTTCAACCTCCTCCACCCAAGAAGAAAAGGAAACCTACGAAAAAGCAGCAGCAGAAGGAAGCAGAATTGGCCGCTGCTGCAGCAGCTCAGCAACAACAAAATGCCGCTGCAGCTGCCCAAGCACAGCAACAGCAACAACAGTTTTACAACGACCGCATGATGCACCCCGCCGCTATGACGGTACATCACATTGTTGACCTCCTCATGTTTGAAAAGCATTGTTCGATATTTCAGCCTAATATGCAGATAATGGGTCACTCCGGTTACCCTCCTGGTGCTGCCTATCCACCCACGCAACCAGGTATGCCTGCCGTGCCACCCCAGTACCCGGGATATCCTCAAGGGCCTACCCAGCAGCAGCAACTGCAGCAGCATCAGCAACAAGCCTTGTGGCATCAGCAGGTTAGTTGACTAGCAAACTAGCATGACTCATTGAACTCAAACGCTTCTGCAGATGCAGCAGCGGATGATGTATCAGCAGCAGCATGGGCAGGTAGTGGGAGGACCTCCTGCACAGCCGTGGCCAGGTCAGCGAGGTCCTCCTGTGCCTTATCCAACTCCGATTGGTAAGTTGTTTTTTGCACTTGTTTACACCTTCTCTTGCAAACTCGGTGCTTTAGATGGTGTGCAGTGTGGTCCGGCATCGGTACATCCTACGGTCTCGCAAAGAACTTCAGGATCTGGGGAATATTCTCGCGACGGCACATCTCCTGCAACGCCCCATCAGTTCAATCCTGGCAGTCATCAAGGAATGATGATGGTATGTTAGTTGGTTATGGTTACATGCCTTAACTCTACTGAGCGCTGTCTCTTCGTGAGATTTGTAATTCACTTTTTGAACTCAAAATCTAATGAAACTATCGTTGGTTTTGTTATTATTACGAGGTGTACCTTCTAGTTTATCCTCCTCCATAGGTTTTGTCCGGCTCACAAAACGCTCCGTGCTTCAGCTGACACTTCTTTCGCAAAGTGTAAAAAATACTTGCTACTAAATACTTCCAATTTGTTCAAAATTCGAGTGCAGTTAACTTGAAAAGTAAGATTAGTTCTAGATTAGCTCGACTTCGAATGCTCGTTAGTTACAACAACGTTGTGGAATAGTGATAGATTTGAGCGATTATTGTAGAGCTTCAACAAAGGGGATGGGAAAGAATGCTCCATCTGAAACGTATAAAGTTCGAAGTAGGCAAGTACAGTCGAATCATTTAATATGGTTATGTGTGCATTGCACATACCGTCCATTTTTGGCGTCCTCATCCTGAATTTGCAATCACAAAAACGCAAGAGAGTAAATCGGTTGTTATCTCTTATTTCATCTGAGGTGGTTGGTAGCTAAAAAGGAAAGAAAACGTTAAAAACACATCGAAAACACTTACTTGAAGGGTTGTCTCCTCAAAGAATCCGGAATGGGAACGCCAAAGGTGGATAGTGTGTGCAGTGTCACACATGATCATTTGAAGTGATTTGAGTGTATGCAGCGGTAGCACACGCATTTTTTTTTTGAGCATATCAACTGAGCAAACTTCGATACAGAGTTCTCCTGTTAAAAGGTGGAATGGGGCATATCAGAGCTGCTGTAAGTAACGTCCGAGCAAGTCATTTCGATGCTGTAAGTGCTTGAAGCTCTAGGCACCTGCCTGTTTTGAAGCCCAAACGGTTTAGCAGAGCAAGTGCTTTCCACTACCATATCGGACTTGTACAGAACTGCCGCGATTAGGTTAAGAAATTGCAGAAATGATCAAATATCTAAACCTATGAGAATGCAAATGTTTCTATACAAACGCTTAGGTGCTTCGTGAGTATTCTTCAAAAAGGGAATAAGAATAGTGTTGCTTGCGGGAGGGCCTTTTGGAAGAAATACAGGTTTTGTTGTGAAATTCAAACCACTGCTGTAGGATACTATTTTAGGGATTGTGTTGAAATTTTAATAATCTTTTCTTGAATGTGGGATCACTGAGATATTTCCTGCTTTTTTGCTTTTCTATGGTGCCATTTCTAGAAAGTTTTCAGGGCTTTTTGCTTGTTGATTTGGAGCCAAGTGAATGGCTGTGGATCATAACGACAATTTTTCTGCATCATAGCCATTATACAAAATCGTAACTTGGTTGTATTAGTGCAACTCTCGTGTACTTTTGCAGCTATCAGCAATGAAACTTTTTTGGTATTAAACTCTTTTAGTTCTAAAGATCACTCCATTATGCTAACTTATTCCTGCATATGCTCGCATCACGCATCCTGGTCCTAATGTTGAACATATATTTTTTGCATTTGTCACACATTTCTAACCATCCAGGGACACGCTGGTACGCCCATGTCGCGAGCGGATTCGCAAGGGAGTATGTTTGGCAATACCTCGTATTCGCAGCAGCCGCCCAGTGCGCAACAATCCGTTGAAAGCGAACACCCAGTGGACAAATTGTTCAGTGGACAGGACGATCAGCGTTTGTTCATCAAGCTTTCAGTCTTGTAAAAATACCGATCCATTTCTTTCCAGTAGGTGATCTTGGTGATCTCGATGATATAGAACCAATGTTGGACCTTGGTGGTGGGGTGTTAGATGATCTTACCGCAAATGCGCAAGCCGAGGCGCTCAGAAGCATAGGCGCTCAAGATAGTTCACAAACTGTGGATAATTCATCAACAGCTGCGGCATCTAACGGAGATCGGATAGGTTAGTCTTTTTCTACGAGCTCTATGAATGCTAGTTGTTTTTCTTCTTAGTCTGTGATTATAGATTCATCAATCGCGTCCGTCGTTGAGATGGTGTCGAAAAGCGGTGGCGCTCCACCTATATGCGGTGCGCCAGCAGTTTCTCAGACAGCTACTCATCCCTCGGCAGCAAGCAATGCGGCAGCCATGAAACGCAGACCGAGTAACGCTCAAATGGCTGCGAACATCGTCGCCGTAGCTGGCCAACAGCAGCAGTTGATTGGTGGTCAGTGTATTTCCAAATGTGATCAGAAATTATAGCTGTATGGTGGTGATAGCACAATTGCGAATGTCCAATTTTCACAGGGCAACATATTTATTTTGATTCCATTTCATGCTCATTGGAGGGCTGTGGTTGAGGTTTCTAGCGCGCTACCATAAGCTTTCTGTGGCAGTTTAATTATCCAATGTTTACCTTGACGCGATGATGGTTCTTGATGTTGTTTTTTTCGTTTTTCTTTAGCACCTTAGCCATCGTTTGCCAAACTTAGTACAAGTGACCTACTTGTCAACCCTCTTCTTGCACAACGATTTTTGGCAAATTTAAAACCTCGCTTTTATGGCCATCTCGAAGTTTATACAACCGAACAGCTCAGGAATCGGCTTTGAACAGTATTTTCTGAGGGGTATCCTCAGCACTACAAGGTAGCTAATAATTAGAGCTTTTTGCCTAGTTGATCATCTTGGATCATTGCATCTATGTAATTCTCTTTACTCAACTGAAAGCTCTGTGCATGCATTTGAACAGTTAGTGATGGGCGTTACATCATATTTTTCTAATTTGAATGTTCCAAAAGAGCAGTTAATAATCCTTTGTTGCTTACACCAACTGTCGCTCCTTTTCTCTACATTTTATCCACGTGACTTCAATTTCTTCAGCAATCACGGAAGTGTTGCATGAAGTTTTCAAAGATGTTGTTAAGTAACATGTAACTACTAGGTCATCTTATAAATTGATATGCTCCACATTGATGATGAAAACAAAATGTATCTTCGGAAGCACTAGTGCGTGGCCAAAATAGATACCTTGCTATCTTTATAGAAAGTGTGAATGCTATGGAAATTTCATCTCGATTTGACTGCACATCAATCCTCATATCAAACACAGTTTATCCTTTGTAAGGGACTTGCTTCAGATCAGCGGTATGTGATGGCACCTCATCACATGGTGAATTCCGGTCAGATGCCGATGCAGATGCAGATGATGCAACCTATGGCTGGCTCCCCATCAGCAGGTACAAGGGCTTTCTCTAGTTATTGGAACTCTCTATATCACATTAATCTAGGTAACTTATCGCTAGAACATAACGCTCGAGCGCAGTTGTTCCATGGTCGAGGCGGGATGGCCAAATCCAGTGAAAACGGACCTGGCAGACTGGTAAATGGGCACGATCAGGTGGGTCGAAGATTTTCTGCTTTTCAAATTGCTCTTTAGCTGCTGCTCGTATTTTGGATCAGTTCAGTTTGTTGTAAATAATATTATTCACTTGCTAGTTTGCAACTGTTACCGAATATTTCCATGTTTTGCAGACCGGAGTCCCAAACGGCGCACGGCGCTCTCAACCCCAACAACAACAGAGTGACGCCGCAGAGGAAGAACGAATAGCAGAGCTTGTCAAAAAGGCAAGATCGCCTCGATTTGTAATTTTTTGTGGCACTTCTCTTTTCGATTGTTGACAACAGCTAAATGACATGTTTAGGTTGTGGCACAAGGTGAGAGCCAGAAGGCAGCAGCCGCTGAACAAAAAGTGAGTAGACTCTCATCCTTCTGTGCTGAATTTTTAAGCGTTTCTTAAGTCGCGTTTCCGCGAGTAGTCGCGAACCATCTTTTCAGGGTCTGAACTTTGTTCTATATACTGTTTTAGGCAAAATTACCTCGGAAAAATCGGCGTAAAACTGATCTTAGCAAGGAAGCCAGTCCGCGGGACGATGAGGAACCTTTTATTGTAGATGGTGAGTTCATTACGTTTGCACCTGAACCATAGTCGTACACAGTTGATTGATATGTAGTTTTTTCAAAACATCTCCACTCTTTTTCTAGCACTTTGAATTGGAAAATAGCTTACTAGTTTCTGTTTTCATTTTCTGAGTGTTTCAAAAGATTGCATCTGGTTACTTCAATAAGGGAGAGATTTTTTGAAATTGAAGTTATAATAACTCAAACACCATACTTGGTTACTTTTCAATCATTTCACCTGGTCAAGTGAGAATTTCTTCTATTTTCAATGTGCTAAAGTTAGCTAATTTTCCCATAGTCGCTTGGCGCAATTAGTACGTAAGCCTTCTTAATTTACGCAAGTTTTTTTTTGTTTTCTTCGTCATGATAGGAGTTTCTTGAATATCTTCTTTGTAACATTTTCTTACTCGGCAAGCTGTTTCAAATTAACTCTGTTCTTTAAACGTAAAAATTGAAAAGGCATTGCGAATCTCTGTAGTCAGTTCAACGTAAAGTAAAATCGGTGCGCAGAGGGTCTGTTCCTTGACTTTGAGATGTTGGTTAGATGTTGTTCTGAAAACTTCCATCATTGTAACAGTAGAAGAAAGAAGTATAATGATTGAGATTGAAACGAAGGTGAGATGCTAGGTGCCTGTAAAAATCAGTTCTTATGTCGTACTGATTTTTACCATCGTACACTTTTCAAATTTCGAAGTTCATCACGCATGTACCAAGATCCATGTTTTGCTTTCAAGGCACACGTAGGCGGCCTCCTGGAGTGGCAACTAGCCATGTACAAGCGGCGGCGTCAAACTTCCAAGCGACCATGGCTCGACAACAACAACTAATGAAACAACAACAAGTTCAGGTTACTTGGTGTTTTTTCTTATGCAAAATCAATAAATGAAACTTGGTAAGCATGAGTTCACAACAACTTCGATAGGGAGTATCAGCATTATTTTGGTGCAAATTAGGTTGGGGTAAAAGCAACGCGTGTTCCAGATATGTTTAGAAAGTAGCCTTATCACATTTGAGAACATTTGCTTAATTTCAATCTCAATTGCAAATTAGTGCAATTACAGCCGAAGCAATGATCTGGTTGCTCGTCGCTTTCAATCCTGCTCTACTATTCGGTCTCTACGCCGCCATCTGCCCCTCGTATCCTCATCACGGCCGGTCCGTTGCTGCTCAATCATCATGTGCTCCGACTTTGCTCCTCCTCACCTAGGGTGCGGATGTATTAAGTAATTGTCCTGTAAGTTGTTGATAAGGTGCTATTTGTTTTATTCATTGCGGCTCTCGCGATATAAGGGTCTACTAGTCACAGTTCACTCCATTCGTCTTCGTCGTTCGTTTGATGTGTGCATGTTACTCATCTTGTTTTATCGGTTCCTCACATTTTCCTCTATTCTTTTCTTTTTGTACTCATTTTCCTACTGCAGATCATGTCCTAGACTAAACATCCCGACATTTCTATAGGTTTGAATTTACATTTTATCTACTAATATATTAGGTGCATCGTCCACAATAGCGCACACTGTTTCCCGCGTTCTTCCCGACTTTTCTGTCTTAGCTGTCCACAGCCGGATCATTCATTAGTGAGCGTTTTGACTCGTTGCACGCCCAAGGCTTGCTTGGGAATGCGCGCAGAGGTAGTAATTTATTTGTGTGCCGAGTTGAGTAGGTGGTGTTCCGATCTCTTCTACAAATTTTCTCACCCAAGTCCATGCCCGAAGTTGTCAGCTTCCTACATGGTCGAAACTTCATTTGCCTATCCAATTCGCGTTCTTCGTTTGTGAATATTGATGAGTCTCGCAATTCTATAGTTTACACTAAATCGTTAAGGCTATATTACGATTGTATGTGATTTATACAGAAAGTATAAATATTGTAAATTCTATATGATTTGTTCAAACAAGGTATATAATGAGACGGTTATGTAGGGGAATGATTATATCAAAGCTAATATCACTCAGGGGATGGTTTACCAGACACAAACTCCTTGTGCTACAAATGGTCTTTGTCGATGTTGTGATCTTCACAGCAGAACACCATCCATTTCACATTGCTTTAAAACTCCACCACTTTTGGTTTTTTTTTGCTAGAATTTAGACTTTTGTCTCACACACAACACACATTTCAAGATGAGTAATGCTGAGACTACCAGCTCTCGGGTAGATACGCATTGTAGAACCATCTGTTTGGACTACATGCCCCACTCTCTGTTTGAAGAACTTGTATGTAGGCCAAAGTCAGTCATGTCTAGAGTTCATAAGGATAAAGTTTTGGCGCCTCCAGTCTCTATGGTAGAAGAGGCTGACGAATGCATGCCTGTCTTTACAGTGATCTGTTAAAATCAGATGGCTAAAATATCAAACTTCCATCCTCTCAAACCATTGATTGGCGGATAATCTCCGCTAGACTTTTATTTCGAAATTTGGAAGGCTTTTGATATCTTTAAACTACTCCATACTTTGAGCGTGAAAAGGTCCACCCTTGACCAAATGTATGTTGCCAGCAAATTTGCGGGCGTTTTATGCTGCACCTATTGGCATGCGTTTGTTTGGAGTGGCCACTTCGATTCCTAACCTTTTCCTTGTCAGTTTCGGAAACTGAATCTTTGTCTGATTGTTCTGGCATCTCATCACACTATGCCAGCTGTATCGTGTTTTAAAAGTTCGACCACGTAGATCATCCGCTTGTCGAGCTTTTCTAAAAAGTTGCTTAAAAGTCTCGATATCCAAAGTCATCTTAATTGTTTTTGAGTAAAAACAAGTCATACAACTTTGTAACTTTTAAGTTCATAATTGTTGTAGATTACTATCTACTATTACTATTATTGATAACTTTGCGACTCTTCGGGCCCCTTCCACTCGGTCCACCCATCACTTTGTGCTGGTGTGTATGTGAAGAACGGGTATATGCTCTTATAATGTTTTCTGACTGCATCAAATAATTTTTTAATTCATTGACAATGTAAGTCGAAAGTTTACCTTAACGCGGATGAAAAATAAAGATAAAGAGGGAGTGAAACGATAGAGAACGACCAAAAGTGGTTTATAACAGAGTAATTGTAAAGTAGACTATGATTGTAACGAGCATTGCAATGAGAGTACCCGAGACGTATTATTATTAGCCGCAGTTAAAGCTATGATCAATCCTGAAAGGCGTTCAGATGGCTAATCGTTTGAAGGCAGCATATACGTCATAGTCCATTTTTCCGTATAGCAAACGGCTATCAGCTTCGCCGTAGCATCTCGATCAGGGCACTAAAATTACAAAATGAATCGTCCAATTAAATTAGCTTAGCACTCACCCAGAAGGAGGAGCTTGTTCCCCTCTTGCGTCGGCTTCCAGTCCCAGCGGGAAGCTTCGCAAAAATGTCTAGGTGAGATTTATGATGATCAGAATTGTCAAGACCGCGTCGGGAGTTGCACCGTCGAGAGGTGCTAGCGCCGTGCCAGCGCCGTGTTTTTATCCCCATGGGTTCTAGCACGGCGCTGGAACGTGCCGAAACAGGACAACTTTGGGCGCTGCCCAAAAATTCTCTGTGACGTTTACCTGTCGAGTGTCCGCCGCTTCAGGCATGCCGTAGCAATCATCAACACCGAAATAGTCAACTATGGATTTGTCCTCCTCGGCTAGCGATGCTGGATTTGTTTTCGCACTTGCATCGTTCAAAATACAGTTTAATAGTGTTTCCTGAAAAATTCATCAGGATCATGCAAAGAGTAGTTCAACCAAGATTGCTCTATGCAGCAGCTTTTCATTGTGCACACACGAATATGAACTTTCATAACTTTCAATAAAGTTATGGCTTTTTATGTGAAATCGCATATTGGCCGAACAGCTGACGTGGTATTGTGCTCGCACCAAAAAATATACTGAACCCTCAAGAGAAGAGGAATTTTCGCCTATCGTGACGAGAAGAAGCTAAGCATATCAAATGAAAGCAGCTATGTTTTTGTGTTTTTTGACTGCTGATCGGCTCTCTGCCGTGCTTGCAACTCATATCCTTATTTTTGATATTGAATAGCTTATGATTGTTTGTGGCGCAGATTATTGGGAATAATTTTAGCATACATGCGTCCATTGCGAGGAAAACTCTGATGCGTGATGAGCTGCTATCATTACTTTTATGGTAGAAATGACAGCCACGAATTGTCGAGGTTTGCAGAGTTATAAGCTGATTAGTCATTTGACTACCGTTAAAAAACTATCGCTTTTTTGTTATCTGTTTCTCCTAAATGTTCTGAATATGCCTAATATCTTCGGAAAAATTCAAATCTGAAGTTTTTGGCGATCAAAAGGGCGTGGTGAAGCTAATAATCAACTAATCACGCTCAAGGGGCGGGTGTCTTCACTCATCTGCTCGGCGATTGGTGATTGGCCACTACGCCATGCCTGCGGTATTGCCATACGGCCAGAGAATTGCGAAACAGGCAAGTTTTGATTGAAAATTAAACAACAGAAAATCCAGAGAGGCCGATGACAAACAAGAGCAATGAAAATTGGCTGAATAATCAGGGCTCGGCACGAGGTGGCTAGATGAAAATGCGAAAAACGAAGTCCCCCTTGACTTTTGGGTATTTTTACGAGGTCCCTTTTGACCCCCCACCATTTTCCCTAAAAATCCTCCAAAAAACGAAACGTCGACTAAAAAAAAACGTCGCCAAATCGCCAATTTTGCGTGTGTCTTCGGTCACAAAAACGAAACCCCCTTTGCTTTTCATCCCAAAAACGATACCCAGCTTGCTTGTAAGCCACCTCGTGCCGAGCCCTGTGAATAATCCTAGATTTCCAACAGACATTTTCTACTAGGTTGATGCAAAATTCTTGCACCAAAATTTTTGAACTTCTGTTACTTTCTTAGTTTCCATAAAATGATGTGATTTGACAATCGGTGGACAGAGAAAAATGTGCGCTTTTATTGTCCTTGATTTGAAGTTCCTTGAGGGAATACGGCAACAATATAAGCGCAATAAGGGAAATCCAAGTAATTTTTCGATATTTAATTGCTAAAACTGCTAAAACGTCTACTGAAATTCGAAATTATTTTCGGTCATGGTTTTATGACCAACTTTTTCTTGACTGAAAGAAGTTGGTAGTGATTGGATTCTGGAAATAGTTATGAATACCGATTCTCTGAAACGAAATGCACTAGAAAATACTACTTCTGATGTACATAACAAAGAGTATATTGCGTAAATTAATTACTTTGTTTAAGCATTTTTGAAAAGATTTTTTCCTATTTTCTGGTGCAAGAATTTGATCAATCTAATATCCTCAATTTTTTTGGGTTAAGCCACATCCGAAGTTTTGCTCTACAAAAATCACACATTGTTGACTTTCACATATATTCTGTAAAACAAAACTTACATCATAGTAGAACATCACTGACAGGCACTGAAAACCCAACTCCTTTTCGGCAGTGACGCATTTTTCTATGCATTCCTCTGGATTTGCGGTGGTGGCGGTGCTGCGCAGAGTTCCAACCATTACCATGTTGGCTCTGCGATCCACTGCGGCTCCGGAGCACTGAGCGGAGACAGCCACTGCAAAGGATTGGCTTAGTCAAAAGAGGAGGAGGAGAAGAAGAGGGGGAGGTATTTTTTCAAAATCACTTGATACGCAGATTTTCTCGTAAAATGTGGTGTTTGTGCGAGGTATAAGTTCCGTCTTTCTTGGCTTTGAGTGCAGCGTACACCGTTGATTGTAGATGTCGTATTCGGCAGAGGCGCAATGCATGGGACGAGAGTCTAGGACCTAGACCAAATATACTGTTGTTCACATGCTAGCAGACTTTCCTCACAATATGGTGCACTTGCGGTGCCGTGATTCCGCGGTAAATTATGCGCGTGAACAAATAGCTGCGCTCGAAATGCTGATAATCTGCGCGCGCAAGTAGCCGGCATTTGTGTCGCTAACTGTTTAGGCAAGAAATTTCATTACAGAATCTCGACACCGAAAACGGGCTACACTTCTGAGTACACTCACTCACTTTATTCCTCAAGCATGCAAAGACGCAGTCATCTTCATTGATAGTGAATACCACATCCTTCACGTTATCGACATCACTATGGGAGTGCAAAGTGCGAACGAAAAGCACCGCTGAGTCGCTGGAGCATTTTGCTGCAAAAAAAATTAATATCTGGACAAGGAATCGGTAGGAAACTATGAATTTACCTCGTGACGAAAATAAGCGACGGTACACTAGTTTCAATCGCGATTCCACAACTCTCATTTCAGGTACTATAGAGCATAATCCAACTCCGGCGCAGCGTAGCGGGGAGTCCATTTCATTCAGGGAGTCCCCCTTAGATGAGGAAAGTATATCTGAAAAGTGCAACGGGTAAAACCAGAAGTGTATTAGATGCTAAGAAATCGAATTTATTTTTAATTTCCAGATGTCCTTGGAAATGCTTACAATGATAAATACTACAGATGACCAAGCATATAATGGCCTCACCGCTCATGCAACTTTTCAGATCCTTGTGCCTTGGTATATAATGAAAATATCCAAGTAGATTCTTAACAATGTTGTTAGGCCCTTCACTTCGATCGAAGATTTCACAACTCGAGACCGTGCTTGCATAATTCACCGAGCCACACTTAGAAGTCCTGCAAAGTACTATTTTTCTGGATGCGAATGAAAATTAGTAAGGTAGCATTGACGCGAAACATTGGGTGGGTCTGAGTACACACAGATTCCCAAAAGATCATGATCTCTACGCGATTGTAGATGGGATGGCTCGAAAAATATAGCAATGACAAGTTCGCTCTATGTGCATCTGTGCAGACGTTTAAAAAGATTTTTCTCTTTTTTAATTTTTCATTTCTACTTTCGCAGTTCTGAGTCAAAATTAGCTGTTTGATTTTTCGATTTTCCTTTTGTTGATTGTAATCATTTTTGCTTTAACTCTCTCTTCCTCTCTCTCTCTCTCTCCCTCTCTCTCTCTCTCGTTTTTTCCGCATTCTGAAGATGTGTTAGTTTTCACTGAAAAATGTGAAACGTTCTTTTAAAAGTCCTCACGCATCACAAGAGTGGAATTACAAAAAAGTGGCAATTATGCAGCTCAAAGATATTTTGAGGATAATTTAAAAAATGCATAATGTTTTTCCAAAGCAAAATATGCTATGCCATTCAACGATAGCTGAAAGTGGCAGATAAGCAACTTTTTTGGAGGGCGAGGAGGAAGGATGAAAAAATTTCCTTATGAAATCATGACGTTGGTTATGGGCTTCAGAATTTTTTGTGCTTTCCAACTTTTTAGCGGGCTTTAGCGCCGAAAATTTGAAAAGTCGGCGTGGCGGCATCACGCTCAAAAATGTTGTCATACAAAAGCAATAAGAATTTTTCAAAAAAGAAATTCAAATTCCAATCATTCAAATACGACAAGTTCACTTGCACAACTTCATGACGCAAGAAGGTATACTTTGAAAAATTTCGTAATCTTCTCAAAAAAAGGGAGTGAGAGGGTGAAAGATGACCAAACAGAACTCACTGTGCACAGAGGGCTAAGCATTCCAGTTCACTCAGTCCAACTGCACTGTTGATAGGAGAAAGTCCAGTGATGAGAGCATCGGGCTGCATATAGAAACAAGTGTCTTGCTGTGTGTCCTAAATTTTCAGGTCGTAAAATGGGTGTGCCTCCAACTTTGGGTCATTTTTGAGCTGTGTAAAATGAAATGCCAATCTCTTGCTTTTTGCTCTCAGAAGTCTGAGCAAATTGGCTCTATCCATTTCATATTCCTTGCCTTTTATCTTCGTCAAACTTTAGCTTTTTCTTTATGTTTCGCTTCGGAGACTCCTTGGGACTTCTGACGAAGACACCAAGGAAGTTGCACTATCGGCATAGTTCTTACAAGGGAAGGATACTTGATCGCAGTGACGACTGGGTAAACGGTGTATACCGCGTATACCGTCCCCTGACGTTATCTCTAAACCGCATTCTATATCTGCTATGACGTCATTCTGGAGGAGCTATAAAGAATTTTCGGTGCAGTGGATAGTGGTTTGGACTGCGGAGCTGGACGTCGTAGGTTCGATTCCTCTGGGATGCCACCCGTTTTGCATTTTCGTAAATTTTAAGCAGGCAAGTTGCAAAACCCGTCGACATAAAAAAGTTGATTTTCACAATATGAAGCAATATACAGGGTGTCCCAAAAAAATGTGAACACTGTTTGATCGTTGATAACTCCCTTGCTTTCATGTCTTTCGCCGAGATTGAGGTAACATTTTGTAGAACGAAGTTCAACTTAGATTTACAGTATGGAGCGAATCACCGATCGCTCTTCATTACTGTAGGATTACGGTAGGATCTTCGACAAGGATTTTAGGCCGTTGGAGGTCATATTCTGCCTCGGAACAAAACCAAGCAAGCCAAAAACTTTTGTGCCTATGGTAATGAAGGCCGCTGATTCCAATTATGACATTTCCACTTTCCTGTGATGCTTCTTTCCAAAGTTATCCCAAATAGACCGTAATAAGTGAAATCCCAGCATTTGTCAAAAATGTAATTACACCGTCAAAAAAGCTGAAAACACTCGTAAAAAGTTGTGTATCAGAATTAGCGTGCCCGAAAACCCCAGTACACGACTTTTCAGATTTTTTGAAAATAATTTTGTCAGATGACATATTTCACAATGATTCCATATGCTGAAATTTTTACCGTAATCCTACAGTAACGAACAGTGATCGGTGATTCGCTCCACACTGTAGATCTAAGTTGAACCTCACTCTACAGAATGGTACTTTATGCTCGGCGAAAGGTATGAGAGCCAAGGAGTTATTAACGATCAAACAGTGTTCACATTTTTTTGGGACACCCTGTATTTACATTTATTGGCACTGAACCACCATCTAAACTAAAAACACTCGTTTTTAGCCTTTTTCATTGAATACTTTACTCAATTTTACATTGAAAAATTCACAATTCGTGCTTAACATAGAGAGGGGCAGCTACCCTGTCAAAAATGGCGTCTTTCGATTTTTTTATGCACAATATGTTAATCAGCTGCAACGTGCAAGGCTAAAAACAAGTGTTTTTAGGTTAGACGGTGGTTCAGTGCCAATAATGTAAATATATTGCTTCGTATTGTGAAAATCAACTTTTTTGATGTCGACGGGTTTTGCAACTTGCCTGTTAAAATATACAAAAGTGCAAAACGGGTGGCATTCCAGAGGAATCGAACCCACGACGCCCAGTTTTGCAGTCCAAGCCACTATCCATTGCACCAAAAATTCTTTATAACTTCTCCAGAATGACGTCATAGCAGATATAGAATACGGTTTAGAGATCACCGTCAGGGGACGGTATACGCGGTATACACCGCTTACCCAGTCGTCACTGCGATTAAGTATCCTTCCCTTGTTAGTCCCGATACCGGGTAATGTAAAAACACATTCGTAATACTTAAACTAAAACGAACCTGCATCAATGTTTCTGTGCTGAGGACGGTTGGCCGTTCAAAAGTCGTTACACCATTAGACAATGTTGCGACCTGCAATAAAGTATGCCCATGATATTGAGGATTTTTTCACGTACCACTGACCTTGCCTACCGATGATGCATCAGAGTCCATCAATACACCTTCTTCTAAAAATGCACATGAGAAGCGTAACTACAAAGCTTGTGGAGTCTGCTTTTTGGGCGCTTAACTTGCTCTTGAGTATCAAAAACTGCGGGATATGCTCATGACTTTCCTATCACAAACGTTAAAATTAGAACACGGATAGGTGTAAAATAATTCTAATCCTTCTTTAAAGTGCTCTTCAATCAGCCAGTGCTTAATCTGCTCTTTGATGTTCATCTCGCAGGCGGTGCGTGCTGACGTGGTTCCACTGCCGTGCCAGAACTGTGTCGGCGAGGTTTTCGATCAAAACGCAGTGCGCAAGCATGAATTTCGACCGGCGTTAGCATGGTCTTGGAACTACGCTGAAAGGTACTGGCATGGCCAACTCTGGATGCAGCCCTTAGCGGATTAAGACATTCTGCTCCCATACAAAAATGTAATGAAAATTGTGTTCAGGCCCAGCAAAAGCTACTTTGAAAGGATTCCTAGCACTCGATCAGAAGTGATTCTCAATAAGCTTTAGAACCATAAACGAAATTATGGCTATGGTGCCCATAAATTGCAAATTATCATTGCTATTACCACGCATATAGTGTTTCCAAAAGAAAAAAAGGAAAGCATGAACTAACGCTGAATGTTCTGCTCCTTTTGAGACACAATCTCACCGCTCTGAGGTATTGAATCGTGGACAACTGAGCCAGGTCTTACGATCAAGTCCACACCTTGCAGGTTCTTGTTCCCAAGCTCAACCGTTATCTATAACGCAAACATTCTATCTTCATATCTTCAAAACATAATGAACTATACCATTTTCCCTCCAATGTTGGTGCTTCTTCTCTCGAAAACCTTTCCTCCCTTATGCATCATGGACACTGTCGAATTTGGCTCAGGATCAAAAAGTGGAAACTAGGATATAATTAATCAAGTTTGCTTATCTCGATCATAATACAAACATACCTTCTCTGGATTTTTGTAGTGTGTTTTCACTCCTTTTTGCGCCAGGGTCTTTCGTCTTCGTTTCTTCATTCGGGAAAGTTCGACCTCGACTGCGAAAAGAGGATCCTGCAGTGGAACTGATGATTTCTATGTCAACTGCATTTGTCCAGCTAATACAGGACATTTCAAGCCCTCTATGAGGTGTACCTTCATCATTTCAGAGAATTCGCTGCTCTTCTCCTTCAACTTGTAATCATCCACCATCATATCTCCGTGCGCACGAACATCTCCATCTATGCGATTATCGACGTAATAGCGAGTGCCAGACACCACATAGCCATTTCCTGAAAAAATCTCGTTATTTTTTAAATTTTGGGAGGATTCAAACAACCGTAACTCGACGGCTAGACAAAAGCAAAGTGTAAGCCTCCAGAAAGAGAGTGTGTACAAAGTCTGAGCCGAGTATCTATTAGGATGATGCAAAATTAATGCATGTTCCTTATCCTGGAGCGGCAGAGAATATGTAAAAATTTCTAAATTACATCATTCGTTAGAACAAAGCAAGCTCTACCAGATAGTGTTTGAACAATCTCAGAAGGTTTGATCTGCGCGAAGTTTGAGGAAAAAATCTAGAAAATGTGAGCACTCAAAGATCACCGGACGTCAGAATCCTGCGAACTCCTAATTTGGTCAACCATATGCCATACACATAAGATATTCATACGTACCTTGTCGTATTTTTTCATGGCTGGAAATTATAAAATTAGGCCAAAAATTTGAAAATATCGCCGTTTTGGTTGTCACGATAAATTTGATATTTCTCGACAACTAAAGACTCCAAAAGACTGAAAGTTTATTGTCGTACCTCCAAAGCGTTGTAGTATGAAATTATCTCTGTCGGGACAACCCATCAGATTTTGCTGAAACAAGCCGACCTAATGTCCTCCACCCAGCCGAGTTTTATCTCTCAACTTTCAGCCATGGAAAAAATACAGCAAGTGTACATATGCATAGCCAGCGCGAAAAGTAATTTTCATGAGCAAGTTGGAGGTCAGTAGAATTTTTAGACAGAGATCCATTTTTCGAGCATTTGGAAAAGTCTAGACTTTCTTCCCAACGTTCCGTGTATCAAACTCTCTAAGATTATTTCAACACCATCTTATAGGTTTTCTTTTGCTCTATCGAGTGATATGATTTAAAGAACTTTATAGCATTTCTGCCCTCAAGAATAAGTAGCATGCATCATTTATGCGTTACTCAATCAATAGTCTATCTGAGACAAGCTTCAGCCTGACTTCAGTCGTTATGCTGAATTTGCGATAAACTTATTCTCATAACATTCACTTTGTAAAGCCGTATGTTGACACTTTCCATCGATGCTGAAGACAAAACACGTGCTTGTCGCCAATGCTTAATCATCCGTCTACACGCAACCCGAAACATCCTCCGATGTATAAGTTGCTCAGTTACGCCCAAATTCAGTATCTTTTCTTTCTGATGGTTGGATTATAATCTTTCTCCCTACCCTAGTTATCTCACAATAAACATTATAATTATAAGATTTTGTCGCCCACATTCCTTAGGTTCTTTCAGGATCATTATTGGAAACGAATATTGATCACCAAGATTTGAGGTTGTGCGCACACCAATCTGCAAAAGACAGAAGCATTCGAACTAACCGAGCTAATAGATATCCAGTAGCGACAGGATGCGTAGAAATACGTTTGTCTATCCCAGTTCTGGCAGTCTTCTATAGCAAACTCGTGCCAACTGATCAGGAATAAGGGTTTTTCAAATGTTTAAGATGGAAAAAGTATGTATCTATATCTCGGACTGACTGGACAAAATACAAACTTTGTCTACTATCCAACCATCCGACAACTTGACAGCCACTTACAATCACACTTTCTTCAGTGGGAGTGGAGCCACCGACTCCACTTCTAAGCTCTCCCTTTCTGGCCGACAGAAGACGCAGTATTCTCGATGGACTGCGAGCCACCACTACATGCAGGTGGCTAGAAGAAACCAGAACTGTATCCTCTGTATAGTTAAAAACGTAAGGCGTGCCAGAAAAGCAAATTATGTGCGACTGTCAAAGTGCGGATCTTCAAACTGTTCGCAATCTACAACATTCTACTACTCACCAGTACTCATTACTACTACTACATTACTCATTATGTAAATGGAGATTTGAGCGGCTAAAGGGCAAATACAAGCAAGCACAACTAGCGAACTTCTAAGAGCATTTGTTAGCTTCCAGCCTACATCGATTCTTGCCGATGACATCTGCACAATGAAAGATACTGCTTTTACTTCTGTTATAAGTGAAAAGGTGGAGTATAGGACAAGGTTCTGTGCTAACCATCAGCGAACGAGGTGCGGAAATGCATCGCCACCGCTCGTTCCCATACTCCATAGATGGAACTGACATTGAACTTCGATTTACCTGTGAGAAAGCTAAATTTAACAGAAATTGTACCATTCAATGTGGAACGTAAGAAGCGTCAATTATGTGGCTCGTCATCTATTGAATGGTATTGAATGGTATATGGAATGCGGGCTGCAAATTACAGTCTCCTTCTTATATGTGTTATTTTTTGAGCTGATCTTTTCCAGAATGCAACGATGCACCCTCGATGAGCGGCAAACGAGAGATAGTATCAAGAGCAACTCAAAGCAACATTTCCAGATTCAATGTATGGTCGTCAGTCCTTCAGAAGGCTTATTTTATTTTTGTATAGATCTAATAAATTGCACTTTTGTATGTTACAAACTATGCATTCCCTTCAAATCTTTTCTAAATAAAGAGCTTAGTTCTTTGTGCGCCTAACCACGGTATCTTGGGGCTGTTTCCAGTGCGCCTTCCTACTTGCTTGAAATCAGAGTATTTTATTTTACTACGAGCTTCACCTTTCCAAAGTGCGCCTCAAAACAGCTCAAAATAAGCAACAAGAATTTTGACATTTTTTATTTACTAGAGTGTTAGGATTTTGCATTGACAGTTCATTGTTTGTATTTTGTTATGCAATTGTTTCTGACAAGGGTTTGATTACCAGGTTTGAGGTTATGGATAAACATGCGCCGACTGGTTGTGTTTGTTCCACGAAGCGAAAACCACTGAACCCATTTGAAATGAAGACAGCGTAGCGTTGTCGGAAATTCCCATTTATATCTTAACCATATATGAGATGTTTTTTTTGGAATGGAGTGGCATTCTATCATCATTATCTACGTGGCAGAAGCACTGTTGTTGTCTTAGATACTAGTGTATCGTGCTCCCACTGAAGATGATTTTACGCGCTATCCACACATTTAACGGATTCTTCAACCCGCGCCACTAGAGCAGTATCCAAGCTGGCTTACAAAGGCGGAAAGAAAGCAGAATGAAGTTCTTTGATACGGGAAATATTGACGACATCCACTCAAAAGATAGGCAGCCTCGGTCCGAATATGCTGATTCTATAAAGAAAATATATGTATATATCCTTATCATATCATTCACTTATGAAATTGTATGCTAACAATTTCCTTCAACTAAGGACAAAAACATTTTGTCGTGGGAGATCCCACAACCGAGTCTGTTTTGCTTTCAGAAATGCTATTCTATTTACAATTGCTCATGTGACATGGTTTATATCTTTCCCATGCATTTTACTTCTTTCTCTGTGTAATATTTCCAATCTCTATATATAAAGGCGATTGAATGAAGAAGATAGATCAGAGAATAAGTCCTACCACTGACCCTTCGTCTGACGCTTGTTATCTATAATTATCATCCTTCTTGATCTTCGTGCACACCCAAACATCCTTAATATATAAGTTGTTCAGCCAAGATAAAGTTTTATTACCAAAGTTTGAGGTTGCACATGGGGAAAAACAGCACACGACTAAACAGCACTGAGTCAGATCGAAAAAATTAACCAGTCACTAATATCGAGGCATCGAACCCGCATACTGTATCGCCTCTTTCCCATTGAGTACCTTGACTCCAAAAATCCTCTCCCCCCCCCTCCCCACTGAATTGACTAGTGAATGTATCTTCGCTAACGCATCAAGGTGGAAAAGTATACTTATCTTTTCGCAAGCCACCAACGTACACAGGGGAAAATGAAATTTACAATTCGCTTTAGTGAATTTCACGTTGCGTTATCTCCCAGGCTCGAACCACTGATAACCGCGATAATGATTGAATAGATTACCCACTTTTTATTGCCAGCATAGCTTTTGAAGCCAAGCTGTAGTCGCTTTTAAAAAGCATACTGTTATTCGAATTCGCATAGCTAAGTTTTTGACCGATCCGAGATAGTGCAGATGGTGAGCTACCATCATAACGAAGAAGCCGAATTTTCTTGCTAGACACCTAATGGTCTGCCCCAGTTCAATAGCAGCCACAAAAAAAACGTCTAAACAAGCGAAAGTGAACGCCCTGAAAGACTTATTTTTCACCTCAAAGTTCTCATTGGAAGCGCTTGTACCAAGCAAGACGCGGCAGGGAGGGATACAATACTCGTGAATTAGGGGCACATGTAGATATTTTCGAGATTTGAGTTGTGCTCTTGTAGTCGTTGAATAGAGGTAGCGAATACCCAAACATTTTTTGCACCATGTTCGAAGCATGCGTTGAACACAAAAGGGAAAATCATGAAAAATTTGAAAAATTTGGAAAAACATGGCCTTAAATTCTCTCGCTCATGGTCTCACTCTTCCCGTTAATCTTGAAAGTGCAGCTTGAAAAGCAGAAAAGGAGGCGAAGTAAACGAGACCAAATTACTAAAGTAACAGCAGCAGTTAAAAGTATTAGTATCGCTGTGCTTCACGAGCCAACGCTGAGCGCAGCCCAGACGCCGTTTACAAGGGAAGTGTGGTATGTAGTCACACGCAGAAGATTTCAAACCTTCTTGATATATTGGGTTGTTTCAAGTTCTAACCGTTTTCGATACCTTTTTTATGAACTGCCGATTTTGGAGAAAGAAACCACTTTTCAAAAACATTGCTTATATCATTCAAAAGCTCTTTTCTTCTAGTTTTTCAGGCATAGTTTCGTTTTCTAGATCTTTGTTCGCTGTGTGGTTGCGTATTTCAAATGTGAAAATTTTCGTCTTTGCTCTATCGCCGTGAAGTCTACACTAACGTTTGCTGGAGACTTGTGCTACAAAAAGCTCATCGAGATATGATTTCAGAAAAATTCTGAACCCACGAATTTTAGGCTCAAACATAACTCGTCTATAGGGTCCCTTCAAGTCGCATAAAAATGAAAATCAAAAATGTCAAAAAGTTGCATTTTTTGTCGGTTTTTCAGCACAAAATTTTTATGAAAGAGTTTGATGAAATCCAAAGTTAGCGGTACTGCTTAGTCGACTATGGGCTACATGTGAGCAGTGCTTGTGCAACTTAGCTATATTCCATATCAAGTCATGCTTTTGCAAAGTGAAGGTTTCTATAAGGAGATGCTCCTCGATTTTAGCCGACAAAATCTTCTCCACTGTTACTGCAATAATCTTTGAGAGTGCGCAGAAAAGCCAAAGATTTGCAGATTGTAATACAGTTTATAGCAATTACAAAGATTATTTCTGAGAAGAGTTACGGTGAATCAAAGTCAAAGTTCAAAGACGGGTAGAACTTTTGAAACGACCCAATATAAGCATTGCTGCAGCATCTATGTAGGATACACATACCTTGTTGTCTAGGCAGCACCACAGCCTCGTCAGTTCGTATTTCGGGTCTATTCGGATTTCGCTCCGTTTCCGCACTTCTCCTCAGCTCACTTTCCTTGACTTTGACTGGCCCACGTTCATCTAATAGCTCAGTCGAGTGCAAATCTTCAATTTCTTCCATGTAAAAATATCCTTGGAATTTTGATTTGTTCAGTCTAAAAAATGTGCTAGAGCTAAGGAATCAGAATGCCATACGTGGACATCAACTTATGCTCTTCACACTCACCCGTATACTGTGGCATTCTTCTTTTTAGTTTGGATTTTTGATAACACTGGACGTCCATTTTCTAAAATTTTTGGTGATAATACGATTTGTGTCGATTTATGTTTTCAATATTGGCCACCTGCTGAAGGAGCGGAAGATCGATGGTAGTTGATGTCTTCGAGCGCAGGCTGCGATCTGGCTACTTCATTTCGTCTGGATGTCAAATACTACCAACACGACTTTTAGAGTTTTGACTGCTTACGGGCTTACCGGTTCAGATTAATCGGAGGAGATGGGCTGGTGAGGTCGTCATCATCGGTCTGAAAGAAATCATGTGCATTTAGTCCTTTATCTGACGCTGCTCGAATCAGTGCGGAAACTTTGTACTCATCAACGACCAAGCAGTTCTGAGCTGACTCCTACTTACGTTTTGGGAGCGTGCCCATACAAAGTCTTACATAACCTATCTTTAAGAACCTTATTGCGGAAGTTCTTAGATCCGTAGAGGGAAATTTTGATATGGTAGTCAATTCATTATGGTTACAAAGCGCGTGGCTTATATCTGATTTAGATCTAGTCTGAGCAGGTCCACATAGTTTATTCGCATTTTTCATATGCGAGCTTTCTTGCATATTCGAATATTGCATTCAAATTTTCGAATCGAATATTCCATAATACAGTTATTCGATTATTCTTATAGTCGAGTATTTGATCAAATTTAGTTACTAGAATATTCGAACGAGTTTTGGAATGTGCCCATATTCGAGTATCCGAACTCGAACAATACGAAAATCAAAAATCCGATAATATTCGTTCGCTCGAAAAAATTTGGAAAATCAATTACTCGATTCATTGGATTTTTCAAAAACCAATTATTTGATATTCATTCATTCGATGATTCTTCCGTTCATTACAACTATACCACTTATGCATCGAAGGGAGACTAAAAATCATGATGTCAACTGATAAATTCATAATAAAATGAAATTGAAGGCAAAGGTGGATGGAGATATGCAAGTAATAAAGATCGGTACTAATGCGTCAAGCAGTTACGCAGGTCTAAGCCAGGGGTAAGCATGAGGGTGGCAAACTTCAGGCTGGAAATCTTTCTATAAAACCAAAAGGATTATCGTAATCTCACATTCATACATTGCATACCCTTTAGACATAATCAGCTTTAGAGAGACCAGATTTTTATACGAATGATGCGTTCAAGTATGATCATGTTTGAGAGTGCATTTTATAAATTGAGTTTCTTTCCACAACTAGTAAACAAATAATTGGACTACGCGCACACAAATGATTATGCAAATTTGGTATGTAGAAGGAAGGGCTGAGAGGATCAAGCTGATAATGTATTATTGAAAGGCGAAAGGCGCGCTAAGCTTTTTTTCCGAAAATTTTCCGCTACAAAAAAATGAAAAAAAGACTCGTTAACCACAGATGACGATATGGCACGAGGTTTGATGTTTACGAGCACTATGACGAGGGAACAAAGTATGAAATATTACGAAAAACGTTTGTGAATAAAGGGCGTGCTTAACTTATTTCCAAATTTGGGCAATTGCCCATTTAAAGCCCACCTAAGGTAGGCAAAACTTTGACTTCATATAAGTTCTTCACCCTACACAAATCTGTTCTACAAGTAAAGTTCATTAGAAAGATTTTGGTTACAAGACTCCTTCTCTTTTCTTGCTAGAGTCCGAAATAGAAACGAGTCGCGTCTTTAGGGGAAGAAACGGGCTCCAGTCAGGCAGCCTGCTCTGTTGGTACGCCCAAGAAGAAAATCGTAAAATCAAATCAGCAATCGTATTCGCTTGTCCACTTGCCATCCTTGTGCCTGGCTCTGGTCTAAGCTGCAGCACGAGACCTTGTACCAGTACTAGTAGTGATCATCATGTACCCGAAGGAGTTTATGAAGTTTTCCACTGTCTACTTGGCTAGTAGAATTACGATTCCACTGAAGAATCAAAGTTTTGGCAAAGACCGAAACCATGCGCGATATGACTAGAACAGGATGCCAACATAAATCTTGAGCGAATGTTTGTAGAAGGAACCTCAACCAATAAATCACATACTTCAACAGAAAATTTGATTGAAAAGCCTCGAACATTATAACGCGCTCGGAATACACAGCATCTATAGCTCGCATGGTTAGAACAGAAATACCTAATCAAAGAATTGGCGAAGAAGAAGTTCCTTCATACTACGCCGCAGGACGGCAGCGTGCGCGGCGTGCGCCGCAGAAACCGCTCTGAAAATATACGTTCACTGCAATGCCTTTTCGCTGGTAATGTATATATGAACGTGAACGTGCAGGAGATATAGAGATACCAGTGGCGGTCCCAGGATTTCGGACCGGAGGGGGGGGGGCGACAAAGATTTTTTTGAGTGAAGGTGCGCGGCGTTAGCCACGCAGTGTGAAAAAATTTTTGGGATGCTTCCCAGAATCTTTCCGATTTGAATTTTTAAAATTTTTTAAAAAATTATTTTAATTATTTACAAGTAAAAACAAATCACTTGCACATTTTTATCTTATATATAAAGCTGAATGTCTGTCTGTATGTATGTCTGTATGTCTGTCTGTACGTATGTGCGGAATAGAAATTTTTATTTCTGAACCGATTTGGGCCAAACTTGGCACACATATACTTCGGGGCAGGGAGCGTGTCATAGGCTACTTTTCGTTATCGATCGATATCGATTTTATCGATTTTTTGCAAAATTTGAGCTAGGGGGATGGAATTTAGCAGAGGGGTGTAATCGAGCATGCTGATCACCCCCCTTGGGGGTGATCAGCATGCTCGTTTACCCCCCTGTGCCAACTCCCAGCCCCGTAGGTGAACTCAGCAAAAAAATCGATAAAAATCGATAAAATCGATATCGATCGATGACGAAAAGTAGCCTATGACACCCGCCGGGGCCCGTAGTGTATGTGTGCCAAGTTTGGTCCGGATCGGTTCAGAAATGGAATTTTCTATTCGGAACATACGTACACACAGACAGACAGACATACAGACAGACATACAGACAGACAAACAGACATTCAGCTTTATATATAAGATAACATAGAACTAACAAAAATCGCCCCTTTCTACTTTCCCTATTTCGAGTTTCAACTTGGCGGAATACCAACGCGCAGAAGGTACAAAGATCTTGTACTGGCGGAAACTATGAACCGGGTCGCATTTGTGATGCAATCGTTGATCGCAGATGTTTCCATCACTAACCTGCGAAATCCGAACGGGCATTGCAACCGCTTGCCCACTTTCAGATATTGAAAAGATTGATTCAGTCGCTGTGAAAGGATGTTCCTGTATAAGAAATATTATAGACTGCTTATAAGTTGCTGATAAAAACAAACCAAGACTTGAAAGAATTGTGCAAAACCATAACATGTATACAGTGATGTAGCTTATTTTCAGTTCCTTTTTCAGGATATTAATTTTTGGAAAATCATCAAATTATGACGAGTACCTCTTCCTGAAAAGATATCGTTGGCTCCGGCATCTCCACAGCTAAGGTTGGTCGCTCAGCGGGCTAAAATCGTACTTTTGAAATAGAAATTGAGTCAAGGAATGAACTAACCCGTCGTCGGATGTCGTTGTCAGTCATGTCAACGTCTTGAAAATACGTCTCGTTTAGTCGCACGTAGTCCTCATCAAAGTTATTGTCAAATGCTCTTGACTGCTTTCGCGGAAACTTCTTGGAAAATATCTGGGAAAGGCGAAAGCGTCAAATGGGAATTGTCTGTGATAAGAAATTTTCAATGATATACCACGCGGGACTTGAAAAACGAAAACTGTGAATTTAAAAAATTAAGTGATAACGAAAAATCACCTTCAGAGGGAACTTCCGCTCATTGCCGCCGCCCCTTAAATAAGGTACCGTTTGGAAGCTCCATTTAAAAAGTCAGAAAACGTACTTCTCTTCGATTCCTGCCTTCAATGTCTTACTGCTGAACATGGCCAGGTTCCGCAGTAAAGGATTAGCGATCATCATTTGTTCCAGGTTTTGATGGGTCCCCATCAGAGAATCTGCAAGTTCGCAAGGAACTCAACGGCTATCACTCGAAATGCGACTAAGGCAGTCACCATAGCCAAATGAGAATCTGGAGGGGGTGGCGGATGGGCTACCGAGAGCTCGCGGAAGTTTTGGAAGTAGTTTGCATGAGTTATGAGATTGTGAAAACGACTTGTTTTTAGCTGTAAATTCCAAAGTGATCCTCAAATTTTTCAAACGATTAGCCGGGTTCTGTGGACAAGTGTGGTTAGGTGCGGAAATAAAATGCAGTTTACAGCCTATTTAAAAGGTCTACCCCCTGCCCTTCTCGATTTCAGAAAATCATGTGCAAGAAAATTTGAAAAACCTACGTGAAAAAGTAAGAAAGCTATTTTTGAACGCTCCAGAGAAAGAATTACACGGATTGAGTTTTGTGAGGAATCAAGAAGGGGACATCAATGTCAATATCAAAAATAAGGTTTGCTTTCAATTTTTGCTGTGTGTGTTCAAAAAAAAAAACATTCCAATAGAATAATGATAAATCACAGCGAAAAATAGGAAACGGTAGGCAGTTTGGAAAATTTAGAAATTTACGAGACAGGAGGATTGCATGAAATAAGTTTTTTTCTCGAAGAAATAGCAAATAAGGTCGCGCTTACCTTCCATTTCTTGCGAAACCCTATCGACCGGAATCATCTTTAGCCGCTCATAGTAATCTAAATAATAGCAATGTTGGCTTTGTTTTGGAATTGCCAAACTATTTGCATGCCCTCCTTTTTCTTGCTTGCTTAATAAGTGAAAAGAGGAAGTAAAACTGTGTTCCAGACAAGGAAAGGAGGATTAATGAGGGTGATGAGTCTTTCCGTGAAGGACAAGTTGCGAGGTGCGTGAAAGTAAGAACTAGGGTGTGACCCATACCTTTTGCTGACTCGTCCTTCGCTGACGCTTTCTCGATGACTGCTGTTCGAATCCGTGGGAGCAGGACGATGGGTAAAAGTAGTCGAAACAGGGGCAGCATAGGTTTGCGAACCACGAGATTCTTGAATCTCAACAGCCGGTTAAGTAAAATAAGGCAACGATGTGGAATAGGGAAGAAGACGAAGCTACAGCATTGACAATAACCAGTTTAAAAATCATAAAAGGCGGTTCGTATTATCCCCTTTGCCACCTACAAAAGGTAACGAGGTCAGGAGAAAAAGAGGAGAATCTGCTGGTGTCATTCATCCTGTTCAAGGTCCGTCTCCGTCCATAAGGAACAAATGACCGAGTTGAGATGAACGAATGACAAGGCATGGACACATGATTAGAAGTCGTCTCAGAGTTTCAAACTAGTGGTTGGAAGCCATCGTTCACATTCTTTTTACTGTGATAATTATCCTTCCACCCCGGTGCTCAAGAACCTCTTGACCGGAGCTAATTCAACGCCGGCGGCGCTTTTTGCTGCGTTCATCAGAACGGACGAATAAAATGAGTTTGATTGAGGTGTCAATAAGTTGTGCTGAGGAGGACTGCGTGCGATCATTTAAGCTAACAACTCGTTCGAAAAAAATATGATAAACCTATAACTCCTTCGTTGAGATGTTATTCGAAGCGAAGAGAAGAAGCGAAAAAGGAAACTGCTCAAATGCTCGGATGTTTTACTATCGAAGAATTTCGCACATATCAGAGTGAAAAAGTAAGTACTTACTGTTGTTGGAAAAATTCAACATCAAACAAAAAACGGAAAAACTACTACAAAGTATGGAGTGGCCGCCAGATTTTGTCCCTACAATTTAAACTCTAATTGCTCGAAGTTGTAAGGTCAAGAAGCAGGTTTTGATGACCAGAATCTGTCTACTTATTATGTTATGTCAATTAATATTTGATTTGAGTAGCATTCGACAATTTTTAGAAATCTTGCTGGAGAATTTGTGTATGGTTTGCGAGAGCAATTAAATACAGTCAGAGGATCAACCTCGCTAAAGCCAAAAGCCCGTTTTTTTGACGAAATGGGGCAGAAAAGTGGAAAACCCACATTTTTTCCAATAAAGTTGCCAAAAATCGTGACCGAAAGTAAAATATACAAATGGTACGCACATATATTAGGTCGGTGCAAAAGTTTTGTCAGTTTTTTCAATCCATCGGCAAACACGCTAGAATGAAGATAATAAAATATTTCAAATTGTATCCGATGCAGAATTTCTTCCTTTCCCAGCAGCCAAACTACCATTGTGTTTCGTTGCGAGAATGACGAGATATTTGTTGGAAATTACAAACCACTCGTTCTTACTATGTCCGAATTTCGCTAATTTTCAAAACTTTTGTATGAGACTTTCGGAGGAACCCTAATAACTAGCGGATAGGGCAAACCTTTTGCCAACTTATGCAATTTTTTTCTTTCTTTCAGCTCCTTTTAAGATTTTTGCTAAATAATTTATTAAAAGTCTTGTGTTTTGAAAAAATCGCATAACCTGTTATTGCACCAAATACAGCAAAACCTGCAGAAAACTGAGGTTTCAGTACAAGTTTATTACTACCGCTACTATTATGAAGTAAATGAGCGATTTTCGCTTCAAATTACGAAGATTTTGAAACATAGGTTACGGCAGTGCGCATTCTTGAAATTGAGAAATACGACGATTTGCCCCACAAATTTCGCCTGTCTCGGCAAAAAAAGACAAGTGCTAGAAGGAGGAGAAAAAGTTGAATCGAATGGTGACTTAAATGTTTAACATTTTAGGTTCTGTGAGGTTAAAATAGGCTAAATGTAGAATTTTGTCACTTCAAAAAATAAATCGTAAAAATTCTGAAAGGCAAGATGTAGGGCTACAAAAAATTGCATAAGTTGGCAAAAGGTTTCCTCTATCTGGCGGCTATTGAGACTCCTCCGAAAGTTTCATACAAAAATTTTGAAAGTTAGTGAAACTTAGACATGGTAAAAACGAGTAATTGTAATTTCCAGCAATTATCTCATCAATCTCGCAACGAAACGCAATGAGAGTTTAGCAGCCGGAAAGAGGAAGAAATTCTGCATCGGATTTTTTCTTGAAATGTTTGTTTATCTTCATCCTAGCGTGCTTGCCAATGGATTGAAAAAACTGACAAAACTTTTGCACCGACCCTTTTGCACAAATATTAGGTTGATGCAAAAGTTCTTTCGCACCAAATTCAAAAATTCATAACTTGTTAAATTCTCAACGAATTTGCAAAACTCAAATTTTGTATAAGAGAGGAACTCATGCTCTTTGTAAATGTGCTTGAACTGTTCGTTAATATGTACAAATGAAGGAGATAGAAGCGCAAAACCAAAATCACTAAAAATTTGTATTTTTCGTGTAGGGTCATAAAAAATCGGAAACTTGCAACAAAAATCGGAGCAGTCGGTATTGTAGGTTATTTCACCAGCTCTTTCTAACGGTGCAAAGTTTGCGCCGATTGAGCGTCTCTATGAAAAGTTACGATTTTCGAGCAAGCAATACGAAAGGGCAAATTTGATTTATTTTGGCATTTTTCAGAAAAATCATCACTTTTCATAGAGACGCTCAATCGGCGCAAACTTTGCATGTTAGAAAGAGCTGGTGAACTAACCTACAATACCGACTGCTCCGATTTTTGTTGCAAGTTTCCGATTTTTTATGACCCTACACAGAAAACTCAAATTTTGAGTGATTTTGGTTTTGAGCTTCTATCTCCTTCACTTGTACACATTAACGAACAGTTCAAGCACACTTACAAAGAGCATGAGTTCCTCTCTTATACAAAATTTGAGTTTTGCAAATTCGTTGAGAATTCAACAAGTTATGAATTTTTAAATTTGGTGCGAAAGAACTTTTGCATCAACCTAATATTTTTGATATTTGCAACTTACATGGCCACGGTCAAATTCAGATTTGGACTGCCTATTTTTTGCTTACAAATTCGCAACTGCAAATCACAATAGCTTGGTATGTTACTTACCAAAATACCCATTTGTGTGCTCATTAATGGCTTGAAACAATTGAGTCAAAAAGTGATTTTTCAGAAGATTAGCCATATAAGGGTCCTTTAATAATAGTAGAAAATTCTGATCTTGGTATTTGAGAGTAGAGGTTTGCAACTGCCCTTCACAAAATATTTTGACTAATATTAGTTGTTCAGGTAGATATGAATAAGAATTTGCGTGTCGATTTCAATTTCTAAGCCAAGCTAATGAAAATTTCGAAGAGTTAATATAGTTGGCGTCTGGATGTTTTTAGAATACAAGATGGCAAAGAACTGCTGTAAAAAAATTGAAAGTGCCTTCTACCTGCCAATTTCTATAATCCTTCCCATGACTAGGTAACTTCCAGATAATGAGATAAATTTTAAAACAATAAAATACTAAATATTAACAATTGAACTAGCTTCTATCGCTAAAACGGAGCTAGAAACGATTAGTCATGGAATGCTATGCGAAGATATATCGCAGAACTGTAAACCCAGATATGGAACAGTGAGACCAGACCAGATCTACGAATGGATTACAGAACAAAGTTAGTGGAGCGCAAGCACACCCAGTATACTCATTGAAACAGTCGGAGATGTCTCGGAATGAGATCGAAAGTGAGGAGGAAACGATCTCGGGCCCCGCTAATTGTACTCTGTTGCACCCTCACCACGGGCTGGGCAAACTGGAGCAGAGTAAGGGAAAGGGGAGTCGTGAATTTGCTGCCCTTTCGATGAATTTACTGGTTCGGGTTGTGCATGGTATGGTCGGTAAATGCATAGATGCGATTCAAACGCCTTGGTTATTGAATTTGTCAGCTGCCAGGGGTTTCTAGGCCATTAGAAAACTTCAAATTGCTCTTTAAGCGTATGGGGTAACCTCATATTTACGGATTATATAGTGGTGTCCCAAGAATTAGTTAAGATCTTTCATACCCCATGATAATCCTCTTCCGGTAGCGAAAATTCTCTTTCTTCAAATTTCAATTCTTTTATAATGATAACGCTTTTGTTCTCATCTCACATATGATTTTGCTTTCGTAAATTCATGTGCTCAAACTTTTGTATTTTAACCAACAGACCAG